GTTAGTTCTTCAGTTACAGCAACAACACAAAGCCCTCAACATCCAGCGGCTCTCGGTGGGCATTTGACCTGCTACCAAGAATATAACAGTAGGTATGAGGGGGCTCCAATACGTTTTGTTTGTTTTTTTTCAAATTCTGCTACAATCTGAAGCCGAGAATTAGCTCTAGTTTGATCTACACATGAGCTCTCGCTAAGAACATCGAAAAATAACACGGCGCGGTGAGGAACATTCCGCACGTGTTTGACTTTCCCTCCGAAAAGTGCATGCTTCAAAGGAACGCTCTACGAAGAACGGGACATAATCTGACCGAGAAGACCTCACCTTACATCACTGAAATAACAAACTGATTTTTATTGAGCCAAAAAAACGAATATTATTCGCTCAGCACAAACCAATAACCATATTAGTACGATTTTCAGCTCGTTTACACGACAGGCTGAGAGAACAAACGTGCCGCCGCCGTGTTGAAGATTCCCACGAGAAACTGTTACGTTTGTTTGTTCTCGTTCTGGTTCTTCCAGTGAAAGTCTACATTAATCACATGGGCCAGCGACCAAAAAATACACTTACAAATATTCATAGCATTGTTTTATCATCCTGTTGCCTTTTGTCATTACAGAATGTCTCGGTACGTCAAACACCTGGTCTGGAATTCCTCCAGGCTTAGCAAATCAATACGCAAAGTATTTTTACACAAATGGCTCGATTCGATGCCTTGTGTCTGTAGCACACATCAGCTATGGCTTTCAGTGACGTGTAACGGCCCATAGCGTTTCCGATTGAAAATGATATATGCAGCGGGAATGAAAGCTAATTTACATCAAGACTGAGAATGTCTCATGAAAGTACCAAAGATCACCATAACAGACTCTCTTAAAGATGAGCACAGATTCTTAAGCTGCATTTTAATGCATGTGTGCATGTCAATGAACAGAACGAACTTTTCCAGCATCCAATTTGTGATGCTTTGTGTTTCATACCGTAATCCAACACTTACCCGTTGGACCACGGTCAAACTTTGTAATGCCAAGGTCAATATTCAAAGGTCCCACTACACATGATTTCTCATATGTCTGCGGAAATGCCAAAAAAATTCAAAGAAAAAGAAAAAAGTGCGGTCTTTGTAACTTAAAAACGCTAGGCTACTTATTTGGCTCTATAAATGGTGATTTAGCAACTAGCTTATAACTTTTTTAAGTGAACATGGATAAATAACTATAACAAATAAGTGTAAAAAAAAAGAACAAAAGATTTTATAAAAATAAATTAATTAAAATAAACAAATATTTTAGATCCATGAAGGAATGAATTTAAAAATTGCCTATTTTGTTGTATAGTAACAAAATTTTAAGAGACAAAAGTTCAATATAATTTCAGATAAAGATTCAAAATAAAAGTTAAATATTTAAAAATGAATAAATATATCTATTTAAAACGAATTTGTTTTATATAATTCTAAAGGCATTTTGTGGCCCCCTAGTAAAGTTCCTGGGTGAAAATATGCTGCACGTTAAGATTTTAATTTATTTTAATTTAAAATAAATTAATAAATTAATGTTAAAATTAATTTTAATATAAAATAAATAATTAAAAGGGATAAATAATTAAAAATATATATTTAATTTTTTTTATTAAAAACAGTAACAATTTTAAATGTAATGCCATTGGGGCACTCTAGATAAGTTTCAGATTAAGAAATATGCTGCACATGTTAACATTTTAGTTAAATTAATTAATTAAAGTAATAAATAAAAGAATACATTAATTTTAAAATAAATAAATTAATAAATAATGAATATTAATATAAAATAAATTAATTAAAAAATTAATGATTTTTATTTTTTTTATTTTTTAATATTGCGGACACCTAGTAAAGACCCTGTGTAAGAAATATGACACATGTTGGCATTTTAGTTCATTTAAACTTAAAATAAATTAATATAAAATAAATAGAAACGTAAAAATTAAGTTTAACATTTATTTTTATTTTTATAATTTTAAAGACATTTTGCACCCCTCTTGTATGTACTGAAGCCTACTAGTGGGCCCCAATCTTAGCTTGGCTGTAAGACACCTGTCTGTGAGCCGTCGGAGGATGGAGCTGACCCAGGAATGAAAGCCTTGCAGGAGATCTGGGAAAGCAGCAGACGTGGGATCAGCAGAACCTGCTGTCTAGACGAAGGTGCCGTACCTGCATTCATTCCAGAGCGACTCATCCCAGCCGGCTTAAGGTCACTGTTGAGCAAGACATGTGGGAGTGAATAAGAGCTTCAACTCGAGTGCTCTCACTCCGGCAGGCAGCGGCAGATGGTAGACGGCAGAGCGGCTCTCTATGCTGGAGCGCCACATGTCAACATCAACCGACCACAACCCCCCAGCATCCCCCTCCGTCCTGTCACACTCATAGGCCACACATTAAACAACACACGCAAACCCCCCAATCATCTAATTACACTATTTGAAACAAGCATGTCATTTTAGGTTAGTAACTTGCCATTGAAGCGTTGACAGAGTCTGCAATTTGAAGGAAAATCACATACAAACGCTGCTGTCGGTGCATTTAGGCCATGCTGCGCTAGGCTGAAATGAAAAGGCTAGCTGACGTCACAGTCGTGAGTTGAGGGCCATTGTGAGCAAAGAAATGAAAAGCTTGGCCAGCGCTGGGCCTTTGAAAAATCACTCTTGAAAAAGACGAGTTTAAATCTATCTATCTATCTATCTATCTATCTATCTCATGGTGTATCCACCCATCCATCCATCCTTTTATCCATGCATCTATCTACCCTTTTGTCTATCCATCCATCCATCTCATTGTGTATCCACCCATCCATCCATCCATCCATCCTTTTGTCTATCCATCCATCTATCTCATCCATCCACCCATCCATCCATCCTTTTGTCTATGCATCTATCTACCCTTTTGTCTATCTATCTATCTACCCTTTTGTCTGTGTCTATCTATCTATCTATCTATCTATCTCATGGTGTATCCACCCATCCATCCTTTTGTCTATGCATCTATCTACCCTTTTGTCTATCCATCTATCTCATCCATCCATCCATCCATCCATCCTTTTGTCTATGCATCTATCTACCCTTTTGTCCATCCATCCATCCATCCATCCATCTATCTATCTATCTATCTATCCATTCATCTGTCTGTCCGTCTATCTACCCATACATCATCCATCCATCCATCCATCTACCCGTTTGTCTATCCATCTATCATCCATCTATCTATCCATCCATGTTGACGGAGTCTGCAATTTGAAGGAAAATCAGATACGAGCGTTGCTGTCAGTGCATTTAGGCTGTGCTGTGCTAGGCTTAAATGAAAAGGCTAGCTGTCGTGAGGAAAGAAATGAAAAGTTTGGCCAGCCTTGGGTCTTTGAAAAATCACTCTTGAAAAAGACGAGTTAAAGGAGGTCAGGAGCGGAGATGAAAAGTCTGGCTGTTTAACTGCAGATAATTCTTCATGAGCCGGTTTTTACAAATGTTAGGTGAAGTCTTTCGATCTTATTTGGAGATCGAAAAGTACTTGGGGCCAAGAAACAGCAGGCTTTTCTTTCTAAAATGATTTTACATGAGCCTTGTGCAACATTTGCAGAGGATAAAAGCCGTTATAACTCACCTTGCCTTGCCAACCGTCTTTATCACATGAGTATTTTTTTAGGACGAGCCAGTCTCTGATGAGCAGTTACCTTGTACATGATTTGCGAAGTTTTTAACCTTTCACAATTGCAAAACATTGCATCACAAAGAAGTAAATCAAGCTGAAACATTGAAACGATCCATTTTGCAAAGGTTAGCAGTAACTGCTTAATACATCGGGAACATATGAAGGGGTTCAGTGAGATTTATAGCCCAGAGGATGACTCTGGAGATAAATCTGAAACGATGGTGGTCCAAACGTTTTAATCAAATGAGTTTTGGGTTATTTTCAGTCATCGCAGAGATTCAGCAATTGCTTTAGAGAAAGAGGCTTCCCGGTCACACTAAAATAAATACATTTAATTAAATAAAAATTTTAATATAATAAAAATCATAATTAAGAATGAATAAATAAATAATTTAAATATAAAATAAAATGAGTAAATAAAATAACAAATTCAGTGGTTGCTTTAGAGAAAGACTTCTGATAAAAAAGTATTAAAAATAATGTTTTTTTTTTTTAAATAGCATAATTGATAATGAATAGCTTTTTTAATGTTTTTACATATATTAATATTAGATTCAGCAATTGCTTTAGAGAAAGAGGCTTCTAGATTACATTCAAAATATGAATAAAATGTTTATAAAAATAAAAAAATGGAATTGAGACTTTTCAACTCAAGTTAAACTTAAAGGAAATAAGAGATTCAGTGATTGCATTTGAGAAAGAGGCTTCTTGATTAACGTAAAAATAATTGTTAATAAAAAGCAAAAAATAACAATTGAGACTGTTCTGAACTAAATGATAATAATAATAAATAAATAAATAAATAAATAAAAAATTCAGTGATTGCTTTAGAGAAAGTCATCTAAAAAAACATCATTAAAAAACAAATGTCAGCCAAAAGAAGACTTTAAAAAATGAATAAATAAAATAAAGGATTGGAGAAAGAGGATACTAGATTACACACAAAAAAAAACGTTAATTAAATTAAATGTTTATTAAAAAAAATGAATAAAATGTAGCTGAGACTTTTAAATGTATAACTTAAAATGACTTGAATGAATAAATAAGATGAGTAAATAAAATAGTAGATTCAGTGCTTGCTGTAGAGATAGAGGCTTCTAGATTATGCTAAAAAAATAATACAATTAATAAAAATAGAGAAAATAATGTAATTCAGACTTTTCAACAACAAACTTTGATGAATAAAATAATAATAATAATTGCAGATTTGTTTCAGAATAGTAGCATTGTTATGCAAGTCCAGACTTTGATTTAGCCTGATAAACATTTGCTGGGAAACAAAGAGTGTGTTTGTTTCTCCCCAAACACACACCTGAGACAGGCGCTCCGCAGGGGGTTGTGGGAGTCCTAATCATTCGTCCTGCGTGTATTATCCTCAGTAAGGCCCAGACGCACCTGAATACACCTTGGCGGCCCCCTGTTGCTGGTTGAAGCAGAGATTCATGTAGGGGTCAATAGAGCAACAGGTTTGTTGTGTTAGTAGCTTTGAGTCCATCTGTCTGTGACTCAGCAGAATAAAAGCTTCAACAATAGCGATCCGCTCAGTGACCGTGAGAAAATTGGTGATGTGAGTGTGACAGATCGCTGGAGGAGACGTGCTCACCTTTCAGCAAGTGCTTTGATGGATGAATTCAGAAATAAACATTCGGCTTTCATCTCTGTGGTGGTTTGGCGCGATACAGAAAGGTTTGTGTTCATTTGTACGACTTTGAACAATCTCTTGCAGCTCTTGTCAGCAGTTTAATTGAGTGGTAATAATGCGATCTGAGAAATACATCGCCTGCAGAGCAACGACTGTTCCATAATGAGCACAACTCGAGCGTGTAAATAACAATAACATCTGTCAACATCACATCTTCACACCCTGACAGATGACAGCTAACAGATGATGCAATTTCAAACCTTGCATGGCAAATCTATATATCCACCCTTCTGTCTATCTACCCATCTATCTACTGTTAGTCCATACATCCATATCTATCTATCTATCTATCTATCTCCCTGTCTGTCTATCTATCTTCCCATTTCTCTATCCATCCATCACAGACAGATCATAGATAGATCTACTATCACCCCATTTGTCTATCCATTCATCTGTATATCTATCTACTCATTTGTCTATTCATGCATCCATCTATATATATCTACCTATATACCCACTTATCTACCCACCCATCCATCTATCCATTTATCCATCCATCTATCCACCCATTTGTCTATCCATCTATATAACAACCTATCTATCTACCAATATATCTATCTACCCATCTATCCATATATCCACCAATCCATATATCTATCTTTCATTTGTCTATCTATCTATCTATCTATCTGATTCTATGTTTTTATTGGATAATCCACATTAAAATCCATGAAAAGCTAAATTAAACTATACAAACTATATAATGTTTAATTGACTAAATTTAAGTTTAACCCAAATAAATGTACCTATTTATTAATTATTGGACTATTTTATAATATTTCTGTTCCTATATTCATACAAATTATCTGAGAAGATCTATCTACTGTTAGTCCATACATCCATATCTATCTATCTATCTATCTATCTATCTATCTATCTCCCTGTCTGTCTATCTATCTTCCCATTTCTCTATCCATCCATTTATATATCTATCGCTCTTCCCGTTAGTCTATCATCTGTCTACCAGTTTATATAACCATCTACCCAATTCTCTATCCATCCATCACAGACAGATCATAGATAGATCTACTATCTCCCCATTTGTCTATCCATTCATCTGTATATCTATCTACTCATTTGTCTATTCATGCATCCATCTATATATATCTACCTATATACCCACTTATCTACCCACCCATCCATCTATCCATTTATCCATCCATCTATCCACCCATTTGTCTATCCATCTATATAACAACCTATCTATCTACCAATATATCTATCTACCCATCTATCCATATATCCACCAATCCATATATCTATCTTTCATTTGTCTATCTATCTATCTATCTATCTGATTCTATGTTTTTATTGGATAATCCACATTAAAATCCATGAAAAGCTAAATTAAACTATACAAACTATATAATGTTTAATTGACTAAATTTAAGTTTAACCCAAATAAATGTACCTATTTATTAATTATTGGACTATTTTATAATATTTCTGTTCCTATATTCATACAAATTATCTGAGAAGTGAGGGGTTCACATTATAAACCTTCTCAGACTGGCTCATGAATATTAATTAGTGACATTGTAACTGATTTGCTGAAAAGTAGGCACTATCCATATTAGAATTTCTTCTTACAGATTTTGTGTTGACACGTCTGATCGACTGCTGATGCTAACAATTAATGTAACTTCAAACAAGCAAAACAAAGCTCATTAAATATAGTTTCTGCCAAAAAAAAAGTAAGGTGGGTGTTTTTAGAAATTTCAAATACATTTCCTGGCTGTTGTTGGCCGTTTATTAAAGCAATAAGCCACTCAGGTTGTGTGTTACAGTGAATTACCTCAGATTTTCCCTGTTTTAGTTTTAAATTTATACATTAACTTAGATGTGACATTGTTTCCGTCTACTTTCTAAAACAACTCGCATGCTCAAATACTTCCAGGCGATGAAAATCAAATCAGTGTGTCAGAACAAAGTACATTTGAGTTACTTTCGTGACGGACTTTAAAAAAAGGACTAAAACAGAATAAACTACAGCTATGCAAGTACTTGCACGCAAAGACTCACGAGAACCTCATGCTGAATGCAGATTTTGGCACCGTTCACTCTGAGCTGTAAATGCTGTGCACTCCTCCAAGCAGGACCTGTCTCACATCTGTTTGCTAAAATGCACGAAGAGGATATGTATTCAACATGATAACATGCTAAAGATCATATAGCCGCTAGCATATTGAACTGCTTGAGAAAACAGACACCTGTCACACTAAACTTTCTCACTGCATGCTTACCTGCATTGAGACACATTAGCAACAAATGTGCCACACCTGCCAGCCCGTGAAGATTACTCACTGTTTACTTTGTGGTAAACTTTAAAATAGAGTGCATATGTCCATCCAGTCTTACCTTGTTTGAAATACTTTGTGATGTTGTCACGGAAATTAGATAAACTTGGAAACTTGGAGACTTCTATTCAATAGGAATGTTTCTGCTGGGTCCGTTTCTGAAAAAAAAAAATGTGATCGCGATCTGTATGGAGTTTGTATATAGGCAGCTCACTTGATTTTGGAACAGCGGAGAACATAGTTAAATAGCAAAAAAAAAAAACTTAAATCTCTGTAATTCTCTTGTTTATGAGTCATCTGTAGCTGGGTTTGAATCTATGATCTTTGCGCTGTAAGCCCACATCCTGAACCATTGCCACACTTTATTAGCATCTTGTGGCTTCTGAAACACACTTCTGAGATTTCAAATCAAACTCAACATAAACAATATACAATATACCATTGCTTTCGGCTAAAATACAGGTCCATAATATTCCCTTCTCCAGTCAAACAGTTTTCTCATCTGAATCAGGAGAGAAATATGCACAGATCAAGTATCGTTTACAAGTGAAAACAGTCCAAAGCATTTCTAAACAAATATGTTGGTGGATTTTGATGTGAGAGGACAACAGGGGATGAACTTAATATGCATTATGGACAGATATTTTGGCCAGAAGCGACGGTTTAAAGTTAAAACCTCTTAATGACGGATTTTATTATTCCAAAACGCAGCTTTTTTCTTCACAAGACATTAATTGATAGACTGAAGTTGTGTGAAATACTTGTGGATTATTGTGATGTTTTATCAGCTGTTTGGACTCTCATTCTGACGGCACCCATTCACTGCAGAGCATCCATTGGTGAGCAAGTGATGGAATGCTACATTTCTCCAAATCAGTTCTGATGAAGAAAAAACTCATCTACATCTTGGATGACCTGAGGGTGAGTGAATTTTCAGCAAATTTTCACTTTTTTGGGTAATTTTCTACAAAAAAAAAATGGTGGTGTCCCTCAAACCAATCATTTAAGAATGACCTTTTTAGCAGATCATGGCATTGTGATCTCTCTGAAATGTAATAATAGCTGTTATGATATGAAATAATTAAAAATTGGCCCGCAAGAACAGCATGAACAATGAGCCTAGGCTCTCCATGAGGTGCTTATTAGATGTTAAAGCTTGTTATTACCTGATAGCAGCCTGAAGCTCATTTACTGTAATCCAACTAAAGCAAACAGGCAGCCAACAGGGATTATATTAAAGAGGGTATTAAGAAACGTATCCAAAATTCTGGCACGCAACACTCTCCGAAGATACAAATCTCTTGTTAGAGATGGAAAAGGAGGTTTTGAATTACCTTTAGGAGTCCGGTTGAAATGATACTCTCTTGCAGTAAAATGACGGGACTTTTACGATGGCCTCTAAAACAATATCATGCACATCACATCACTTTAGTCATAGGAAGTTTTATTACCGCGGATATAGTGAGGGGATTTCGCCGTCTTGTATAGCGATAGCAATTGCTGAGCAACGGATAGAACAGTACAATAATATTTAAAGGTTCAGTGCCCAAACAGACCACCTGAAAACAATTCTGAATGGTGGCTCGTCAAGTGTTTCTGTCTTTTATGAATGTCTCACGTCATCCATTAAACAAGGGGCTGGAATGAAGCTGGCCCAGCACTCGGCATCTGCTGCAATTGTTTATAGAAATATGCCCATATTTTTCCATTACTCCCCCAGGACCCATATTCAGGAACGATACATTCCAGAGAAAGAAAAGAAGCGATTCCTCCAGCAGGACTTATGATTGTATTCCTGGAAGAGAGCCTGGTAAGAGACGAGGGTAGTTAACATCAATTACAAAAACGAACGAGCTGTGCCGACTTACTCTGCAAGGTTGGTCGTATGAGTTGGAGAAACATTCACAATGATATTCATTGTTGACTTTTGGACACTTTTATACATGCGCACAGGTTCTGTTTATAATCAAATTTCTAAGAACTTGGCACAATACTTTTTTTCCTGTATCATGGACACTCTTTAAGGCCTCTTCACAGCAAGAACGATAATTATAAAGATAACTATAACAACAAACAACTTTTAAATTTAGAACAGTTTTTAATACTATATCTTTATTGTTATCGTCCTTGGTGTGAATAGGCCTTTATTCATCAGTGACACTTATTTATTAGTGCCATGAAGGTACTTTAAGACCTCAGTGAGATGAGACAGGAAGTGAAGTCTCTTCTGAGAGGACTCTTGCTGGATTGGAGAGGTGGGGGAAAGATAATTGCTCTCAGCAGGCTGACAGAAAAGGGGAAAGAGAAAGCCAGAGAGAAAGAATAAGGGGATAGCTGCCAATTTGATCAAGATGCTTGTGGTGTCCACATATGGGCTTCATTACGGCATTCGACTGCCTGTGGTGACCCCCATTGGACTAGATCGGCGGTTCCTTGCTGACGGGGGGCGGCCTGCAGTCCCAATGCAGCCTAAAGTCCACAAGGGCAACCTGCAGGTGGACTTTGGCAATCCTCTGGTGTGGTCGCCATCCAAACACATGCCCGCATTCTCCACCAACTCTTGCGCCTGGCAAGCGCCCCCAGCTCAGAGCTCTGCATCAGGCCTGGAGCGTCTCCAGATGAGCCTCAGTCATATTGACGACACTCCGCACGCACAAAGATGCAGGCCAAGGTTACGCCATCGCTGACGTCCGTCAGGCGGGAATCCTCTCCCTGTTTTCTTTCTTGATCAGCCGGAGTGTTTTCTCTGCGATTCGAGAGACAGAAATCCGAACATGCCAGTGATTATTGCTGGCCCATGACAAGCTCTAAATTCATTTGCTGTCGACTCTGCTGTCGTCGGGCCAAGTGAACATGGTGGCTGGAAAATACCCTGGAAGAGAGTCACGGACACGCCTGTCCTTCTCAAGACGTGCGCTCGAAAGCGCGTCCCTGTTGAGGAGGGAGATGCGAGCTGGAGAAAATAAACGTGTATCGAATCACATCTCCTCTGTTTGGGCCCCTCTCTCCCTGGCAACCATGAAACAAGCCTGTTTTCCCATCCGACCGAAGCACTGAGATTATAAGAAAAGAGCTGAAAGGGAAATGTATGCTATACGTTTCCTGATGGTAATTAATAGCATGCTGACTGAAAGAAAATCAGTGTAGGATTTACATTAAAATAATTTTCATTCAGAAGTTGCAAGTAAATTTCACAAATAATTACAATGAAGCGTCAAGTAACACATTGAATTTAATGTGAAATGTGAAGTAGAAAGACTGAAATAATATTTTCTTATAAAGTTTACTCCAATAATTGTTTTATTTAAAACTTTAAAAATGATTTTTTTATGCTTACATAAAATGAAAATGAGCGGGGCCAATCTTTTTTAGCAGCAATGTGAAGCTTATAATTTTATAAAAGCACTTACATTAATTCTTCTGTTAAAACTGGTGTATTATTTGAGCTGTAAAGCAGTTTAAATCCAGATTTTTACAGTCGTTTTAGAGTTTACACCATTGTACTGGTGATATACTTTTGAAGCGGTGAGTATTTTAACATTTACAAATCACTCCCATTCACTATCTCTCATTTTAAAGGAGATATGTTTTTTTTCTCCAGAAAAGGAAGGACAAGTGGAAATGAATTTTTACCAATTATGCCACAAGTGCTGTCGACTGAGTTTAACTCAGAATATTCCTTATAAAAGTAGGAAAAATCACTCAGTGGCTCACCTTGAACTACTACACGAGCGGCTGTAAAACTTTCACCTCTCCATTGCATGATCCAGCTGAATGACAGTCATCAGTGTTCTTTTCCGCTGGCATTTGTTTGGGTTAGAGGGTGCCATCTACCCTCCATGCCCAGATCTTCTGATGGTTCCCCTATCAGCTAATTACACATATCCTGTGGTGACGGACCATTCCCTCTCCAGGACCCCGAGGCCAGGCAGTAGAAGGGAGGAAATGGCAGCCACTTACTATGGACTGAGCAGAGACCGAATTCCTGTAGGCCATGGTAGCCAGGAAATCAGAGTCGCGTCAAGAGATGACTCAGGACCAGTGGCGGCTCGTGGGTTTTAAAATAGAGGAGGCACACTAATTGTATTGGTCTGGGATCCCTGACGATTATTATTATTATTATTATTTGCTTAACCACTTTAAAATGGCTTTTTGGTTGCTTTTAGTCAGAAAACGTAAAGAAAACGACATACATACAGCAAAATAATATAATTTCACTTACCTGGCCTATCACGTGATATGTATTTAGGTCCTAGGCCATTGAGTGATTTATAACACACATGTATTGTCATGTGTGTATACAACATCCATCTATTATATCAAAACTAGATCATTTTTGCTCTCTTAATACTACCTTTCTAATCTCCAAAGGGGAAACTACCAGCTTTCAGTCTCAGGCATCATTAGACATGCAAACCATCTCTGTGGAATATGAGAAAGATATGAGTCTAAAACTTCAAAAAGATCTGTACATGCATGAACAACGTGATCTCATGATAATTCGTATGTATTTTACGTAAAATGTGGTTCTATAAAACGTACATTTACTTACGTTTTTACAGGCACGTACAATACTGACGTATTTTCAGCATTTAAACGTACAAATCTGACGTATTGACGACACCTAAAAACGGATCCTTATTAATATTGAAATTGCCGCATTAATTTTATTATTACTGTTGTTTTTAGTTGTCATATCAATTACCTTGTTTTCAATTCCATTATTAAATTGTTTACTCATTTACTTAATATGAAATGATAACATTTCCTTCTGTTCTGTGTGATTTCTGCTGCCAGCTCGTTTCCAAGAATAGGCCTACATAATTACAGTGCACGAATAAAATTGTTTCATTTCGTAATAATGTTGCGTTTTTGGTGTATTTTATAGTTCTATTGTCAGTCACAGCATGTCGGAGAAAACGCCTTTTGTGGCCCATGGCAAACAAAGTAAACAGTACATGACAAGTTACATGACAGCTGCGTCACACAGATACACTATTTTCGTTCAGATCAAATCACAACAACATAGGAAACAGATCCGGCATGACAGATGAACGAA